ATAATATACTATTTGAATGGTTGTAGATCCACAACACATGCTTTCCTCTGCTCCTGTGCACCGCGGCCTTTCGCGATGGGGAAAAGTTCCAACTGTCATGTAACCCATGCTGCGAGCTACTACTTCCGAAAGCTTTCGACCGTTAGACAGGATTCCCTAATAACTGGGCAGGAATTCCAGCCCGCTATCGGCACGAAGGCAATAAGCGACTGGATTGTGAAATCACCACCCTAAAAACTCCCTGGCAGCATCGATGTGCGGTGAGCCTCTGTCGATGCTTATGCTTTTGCATAAAGACCAACTCAAAGGTGACACTTGATAATTCAAGGCTGCAGCCCATTGAAGTCCGAGAGCCGCTTGAAAGTACGCATTGCCTTCACTTAATGCCAGAGCCTCTCTTGAGGAGAGTGGTGTCCCGCAAGCACAAAGGATGCGCCACTTTTGTGTGTTGAAAATACGTGATAAGCGCACTAAGTGCTCGCCTCGTAGGCCGACTTTGCTCTCCTGAGGTCATCCCTCTCTAGCAACCATGTACGATCTCCCTTGCGGGATCCTACCAACTATGATGCGCCCTATTTAAAGGAATCGCTCACGGAAAACCGAGGTTTCTTTATCAGCTGAGGGTGTGCTACAATTCCCTATCAGAGGCCATGTGCAAAGCCCCGAGTCTGAATGTTCAGTTGTTGAAGAGTAATAAGCATCTGAAAATGTTGGTCCAGCTGGCCAGCTGGACACGGGGGCGGAGCCAAAAAGGCCCTTGGAACAGATTGCGTGGCATGCACGGCAAATTCCACGGCAGTCACGGCACTGTGTAAACTGGCGCCGTGTAGCCAAGAAAATCACGTTCTAGCGTGTCAAATCGATAAGCTAGTGAACAAGACCTGATGATTAAATGGACTGGTTCGCCAGAGTCTATATCTTGGATTTTTACTGGAGGGCTCAAACTTTTAGTTCTACAGATATGGGTATGTGGCACTTGCTGTCTCTGCCTAAAAATTTTGATCTGTACACAGTTCGGGAAGCCTATTGGTTGCGTAATTGTCTAGAAATTCGGTTTTCCTCTGGAAGACAGCTGAAAAGCCTGGGTCTGGTTTGCTATGAGTAGGTTGTGTAAGAGCAAACCTGAGCCAACACTCTAGCTTGAAGCTTCTTCATTTGCCACCAGGATTCGATCGCCCCCCTTCATTTGATGTTCCTACGTCTTCCTTGGATATCGTAGCTTCGTCGGCAGGGGTATAGGACGTTATAATTTCGCACCTCAAAAATACGACAGGTGAGGCGGGGCCCCATCCGCTCAGGAAGAGGATGCCGCCCTGCCCCCTGGGTGCCATAATTGCTTTGAACTAGCCTTCAAAACTGATCCCTCTTCCAAGAATAACGGGTAATGGAGCTCATATATTACGTGAGTCAGTAATGAAGAAAAAGGCAAAAAAATCGTGGAAAATTCCTATATAGAACCCCATGCTGGCCAGGTGGGCGGGGCGGCCGACTCTTCACTAGCAAACGGCGCTATCCTCTCGCTTTTTTTTCAGATGCAAAACTAGTACATACTGCATCTTCATAGGGAGGGTATATGTTCATGATATCCAAAAGGGGCGCAGGAACACCAAATGAACGTGAGCACTGCTTTCAGAACAAAATGGTCATACATTATGCGTCAGTTGTTCCCGAAGGAAACATCGTGTGCGCATCCCTCCGTTGCATTTCATGTACAGGGATGCACACACGACGCTTGGTAACTCTGTTCCACAAACCGCTTACTAGACGCTGGTCAGCGTTGTTAGAATGAGCTAAAAAGTGACGTTGTTGTTAGTGACGACACAATACAGCAAGGTGTTAGTTGCAATACAACGCTGTGCTCCTGTGTGAGCTACAATTTCACCAAAGAAGTGATCGAAGAGCGCCAGAAAAGGTGCCCTGTGAAGTGCGTAGTACCTCTTCGCATTCATTGCAGTACATAATAGACTTTCACCTTCACTACGAGAGTAGTACCAGCGTTGGATTCTTGGTCTTAAGAACAGTTGGGTCAAGTTAACACGATAATCGAACTAGTGAGTAGGCGTTCTCCTACCGGTGTATCCTGAACGATATCCTCATTGTAAGCACTCAACCACTTGAACCCATCTTTAGCTTCTTTGGTGCCGTTGTAGCCTGACCTAGCAATTATTGGGTGTTAGGATCGCCCGTGTTAGTATTATAATTCACAATGTTGTAAGCTATCTGGAGGAGCCTATTGTCGTCAGTGTATTCGGGATCCTCCATCATATCTAGCTCTAAACCCTCTATCAGACCACTACGAAGGCCCTCTACTCTCAGCACCTGGGCTTGTAGATCAGCTGCAGAGTCTTCCACTTCTGCGAGCTGTTGGAAGTGAAGTGGAACCTCTGCAGGATCCAAAATTCCTTTGCTGCCCTTCTGCAGCATCTCCATCCTCAGGTCTAAGACACGACGTAAGATGCTCCTTCGCCACTCGTGCTTCACGGGCGTTTTGATCACGACGGTCGACTGACGAGCCAAAAACTTTCTTTTGACCCGTATCACTCTCGCGACCGTTCTGCTACCGTTTCTCTCAGCGAGGCGCAGCGTGTTGAAATGGAGCGTCGACAGCATAATATAGAGCTTGTACGTCTCCAGCGGGCTGAAATAAATTTATAATCAAGCGAAACGGGAATAACAGCACATTGCTGACTTACTAGAAAACCTCCTTTCGACAGTAAAGGCGATCTAGGGCGTTCTTCGTCTCGCATATTGAGGTCCCCCCATGTGACCCTACTTTCTCCAGATCTTCTTGGAACCGTGCTTTCAAGATGACATCACGGAAAGCATTATACGCTTTACTTCCTAAGGGAAGCGGTTCGGGACGCGGAGAGGTCAACGCACCGTGAAGACATGAGGTCAAGCAACCGGTG